CCACATTTGCTTATTCACCCGCTTTGTTTTCAGCGGTTGTGTCGGGGAGGTGAGCATCATAGAATGCCAATTTAATTGAAGAAAGTATTCTTTAAGCTGAGTTTTCCCGCACATTTTTAATGCCGTTTTTGTGGTAAAATTAGGTGCCTCGGCTGATATTCGGGTTGGCTTATCCTTGAGTATATCCGGTAAATGAAATACTTGGAGAGAACAGGGCAAGAGGGAAAGAATCCAGATTTGCTGTATGTTTTGAGGAAAGACCTTGAGTACCAATCATCTGAGATGCACCTTGAGAGACGACTGTATTTTGGTCTGTTGACAAAGGTGTAGGTAGGATAATGAGAACAGTATTCCAGATGGAGTGATGAACTGGGCAAATCCTTAGATGGATGTTGGATATTGCTATTCGGGAGCCATGAAGAGCCTCATGTAGTGAGAGCTTAGGGCTCAGTGACTAACAAGAGCAGTGGAGTAAAGAAATGGTTTGAAGCTACATCTGCCTGCCTGTTGCTAGAGAAGGGAGAAGGGTAGTCTAACTCCATTCCTGCCCAAGGATGATTCCTATGAGTAAAACGTTATACAAGCCTCCCCACTCCCGGTTTTTCTACCACATTCTGGAACATGGACCTGATGGCACGCCACGTCTCTGCTAGGTTTAATAATCCCCTGCTGTGGCCACACAGAGCTCACAGACACTGCAGGCCAGCAGGGGCATCGTGCCAAAGCTGATCTTTCTCCCTGCTGAAGGTGGGACTTGTAAATGTACCTTCTCCACACCGGGCAGCTGTTGACTGTGGCAGGTTCGTCCATTGGCTTGTTTCTGCAGGTTCTACTTCGTTAACTTATTTAGATATCATCACTCTGTTTCTTAGCAACCATAGGCGTGCATTTACAAGAGGTGCTATCTGTGGTCTTGCTAGTGTTTTTCTTTTTAGAGGTTGGCCCTTTGAGGAACTAAAATTCAAATTGTTGGCCTCATTCACATCCATTTCTAACCAATGGAGCCAACCTGCCAAGCAAAAGTGGTTCCTCAGGGAATCAGTTCAGAGTTGGTGTGCTTGGAGCTGGGTCTAATTTTAAAAACAAATCTCCAGAGTGTAAGGGAAAGTCCTAGCCAGAGAACAACTTGGATCCTTTTCTGGGAGGACCTTTGACCTACCTGGGAGCTACGTGCACCAGAGAGCTAGTTAGCGAAACCATCTACTACACATTTGCACGGAAGGCAAGGTCACTTTACATCTTAGTGTCCTCCAGCACTTTCCTGAGGAGGGAAGAAAGCCTGACATCATCATCTCTGCCCTTCTTCTCTGGAATTGAAAATATGGACTTCAGTGTCCGTGAATGCACTAGCTACCAAGAAAAACAGCCCCGGCTTCTCTGTGGCATCGTGTTGACATTTGGGAAGCATGACTCCAGCCAGTATTTATTTCAGGAAGGGCAGGAATCGAGTTTTATGGTTCTTGGTGCAAAAGGGTACAAACTAAACAAACCGAGGACTTCTGATTTGGCTCGGGCATAGCAGGCTTCCCCGCCAGTAACGGATTTCAGACTGAAGATGGAGTTGCCCGGTCAGAATTGAATCCTAGGAGAAAATCTCGAGCAGTTACTTAAACAAGGCCACCCTCCCTGCTCTCCCCCCCCCCCCCACAACTTGTACATTTCTATATGGTTTTGTGGTTGTTTACTTCAAGCTTGGAGGTAACAATACCTTCTAACTAATATCTTCTGTGATTTTTGGCTTTTAATTTTTTTATCCATTTTCCAAGACATTTTATTTGCTATTACTGGCCCCCAAAGCCAACTTTCAAAGAAAAGAAATTCAGAATCCCTTTCAACAAATACCTCTTCCAGCAAAAAGAAATAAACACAGAGAGACCTGAAAAGGGCTAGGGGACTTGTCCCTGCTCTCTGGATTGCCCCTGTGCACTGGGCACTGTGGACGTTAATGCTCCTTTTGCCCCCGGTTTATCCTCTATTCTCTTTGCAGTCTGTTTCCTTTTTGTTTCTCTATTTTGTGTAACGCTCTGTCGTCCACATGTGAGACCATCATGCAGGAACAACACCACTCATTCATAATATAACTGAGTTTAAGTTTATTTGATGGAAGGTTTGAAATTCAGGCAATACTTCTGCCAACTAGAGTCAAAGTATTCCAAAGAAAAAGAGACATTCCCCAAATCCCTACACCCCATCTTATTGCCATTGCCATGGAAAAGGGAGTGTTGGGGTGAAAAGCACAGTTCACACAGCAACAGCTTACCCCGAAGCATAGCTCTCAGTGCCGTGCCCTGGAGCTTTTGTTGCTCAGAACTGACTGCAGATAGATACTTTTCCAGACAAGCACAATGCCCGAAGCCAAAAAGACTTGTATTCATTAGCAAGACTATTGTTTGATTTCATATTACTTGGACCCAT